TCTTTGTTCAAAGTCTGTATTTGACCTTTGAAGAACTTCTTATACTTTTTTTAATGTTGATTCTGGATTTCTTTTCGCAAAAGTGATTTGCTTTCTCAAAATTGAGCAAAAAATAATGTATGATCTGAGTTAGTATTTTTTTGCAGTTTTGCCGAACTGATTGCTTAACTCATTGTCTAGTATTTTGATTAGGAGCGGACCCAATGTCGTCTATGTTTATCCATAATTTTGAGCTGGAATTTTCAATATCATTTTTATAATCGGGAATCTATAATTTTGATCGGGTATAACTGTAAGCTAGGTCAAACCGGTTAGTTTTTTTGGTTTTGGAGGTGAAGTAACAAAATAAACTACGGACAACATTATCAGAAAGTTTTTGCAGAAATATGTGAAAAATATATATTTTTTGCATTAATATGTGAGTTCGTAAACTCAAAAAATGTTTGTACAGGAAAAGCTTGCGCGCAAAGTGAGATCATTTTTTCACTGTTGAGTTCACGATCACTATTTTTTGCGGTTTTTAATTAGTTACTTATAACAGATTCGGTAGCAAAAATTGTAGCTCATTTTTATTTTACTTACCAATCTGGCAGCAGAATTTTTTTATATTTGATTGTTTTCAACTAAGGTAAGAAGATAAATAGAAAGTAGAGACAATCAGCAAAATGAATTGTTTTATTTGAAAGGTAGAAACTCGTTGTTATAACACACGTAAGCGGCAGATTAATACGTTCCAAATTGAATTGAGTCCGGTAACTTAGTCTTTTAAAAATATTATCAGACGCTAAACACACTTTGCATCTTAGATAGCATGTGGGGGGATGAAATGAAGAAAGAAAAATATATATTTTTTCGATAATGTTTTCAAGTATTCAATCAAAAACTTTTTATTTGGCTTTAAAGTCCAGTCGGAACCTTCAGGGCCTCGTTGTGAGATAGGAGCAGTCTTGTTCCTATTCACTAATTGAAATGTATTCAGGGGTCCTCCCCTCGCATTTTTCCTATAGTGAGAAGGCGAGGACATTTGTGAGGGACGGGGTATTCGAACATAAACTCGGGAAAAAGTGGCGCTAATCCGCTGTCCTCGTATTTCCAAAAACTATAGATCAGTTGGCTGTTTTATGAGCTGTAGTTCCAATCATTGCACATCCACATCAAAAATCAAGTAAAAACATTAAAAACTGCCTGTAGTAACGCAATATTTTCACTAATTAGATTGCTTCTTTCCAGTCGGAAACGATTCAGAAGAACCATCAAGTTGCCGCGTGGAAGTATAGGGTGCCTCACACAAAATTTAGAAAATTCGCGCTCAATTAACTACTCCAAATTATCAAAAAATGAAGTTATCGTAGCTCTCTAATAACATAATAGTACCATAACATTTCTCTTAACTCGCGTAAAAAATTTATAGCAAAGGCTATCGTTTTTTATGGTGTTAAACTTCTCATTGTTATTGTTTTCATTGTTTCAAAAAATTGTCAAATTCGTTGTGTTCCGGGTGGTTTTGGCTTGAGAAAAAAGTTTTTAATTTTTAAATAAAAGTCTTTGAAATAATTTTGTAATAGACACTCTGAGCTCATATAAAGATGAAAGCATTCCGTTCAGATGATTTTCTGCTTATTGGAATTTAAAAATTTACCATATAGGTTAGTTTGGCAAAGTGCATTTTTTTAAACAGTTATCTATTAACTCGTGGAATCAGCGGCAAATAATTCCGGCTCAAAAATCAATCTAAACTGGGGCATACTAAGTGTGTAATGATTTTTTTGAAACGTTTCCTTAGCATTTACCCACAGCTTTTTTTCACAGACATTTTGATCAGGGTTTCTTACTTATTCCGTTCTAAATTTTTAGTTTGTCGATTTTGCAATATGAAGTGTACAAATGCAGAGAAAATCTAGTTTGCTTAATAAAAAAGTGATCACTTTATTCTTTAGCCGATTTCAAACAAGGCCGAAATTTGATCGGCTTATTCTAGCCAACCAGATGGAAGCAAAATATATTCAATTCAGAATTATTGATTTATGGGCTGAATAAGTAAGACGACTCTTTGAATGAAAAAATATGGAAAGTAAAGCTAGCAATTTCGATCAGGCCAATATTTTCTGGTTTCGATTTTTTCATCTTCTTCTTACAAAATATTTTCTCAATTTACTGATTTCAGATTCATTCCTGGTTTTCGCGGTAGACAGCCAAAAATTGCCAATTTTACAAATATGCATTTCATTGCCGTATGTTATATTTCCGACTTTCGAAGAAAACGGAACAATTATGCTTGGGGTGGTTCTTTTATTCAGTCATTTTCGGCGATCGAAATAATAGTTTTTGACAAAATAGAATACACCCTATTAAAAATGTTCACTCCTGACATCAAATATAAAAAAAAAACAATTCACCTCCGATCATATTTTGTAAAGTTCTGGAAGTTTGAAAATTCCTAATCTGGCTATGCTCTGGACTAATTTTTGCGCATTTTGAAGACTTTACTCAAAAATCTGAAAGCGTAACTCGAATTATTTTTGCGTGGCGAAGTATCCCGAATAGCAGAATGGTTGCGAACTGAATTGAAGCTAGTTAAAAGATCGTACGTATCAATTTCGTACGAACCAAACTTTCACACTTGATCTTAGATTTTGTAAAAAAAATTATAATATTTCATCTATAGTCTTTTCCCAAAAACTATTCGATATGGATTAAGGGGCAGTCTGAACATACAGGGCTTTGCCTTGATATACGAGCAGTACTGCTTACATTCACGCTGTTTTCTCGGTTAACCATTTTTGTATCTACTATAATTGCATTTTGTGTTAAATAAAATCATTAATTATTTTGAAATGTTAAAAATAAATATATATTTTTTTCGTTGTTTGGGAATTTTTCACGTTCTGTGGAGGTGAGCTTGAAATTTTTCTGCAGCTTGGCACCATTGACGTAAGAAACGCGTGTTTTAATATATTCAGCTCGTACTTGTGTTTTCCCGTCATTCATGCCTTGCTGCAGAAAAAAAAACCAACATTACCTTACAGAACAAGCAAGTCTATATCCCAAAAGTTTATTTCTTATTTTGTGTCATTTTTTTCATGCGTGATTTTGTGCATTCATTGAGTTTGCTTAGCCCAAAATTCAGTTCTGAAACGTGAAAATTGATAAACTTCAAACCATAGGCAAAAAAAATCTGCTTTAATGAAAATGTCTAATGAGAATTTGGCGACTCTTTACTGTCTAGTGCAAAAAATTGAGATCAAAGTAGCAGTGAAATTAGAAAGGATTTAAAAATTTGTGTTTCAAAATAACCCTATAATTTGCACGAAAGAAACATCAAAATAAAAACAAAATATACTGTTGTTTTGTTGAACATTCTTTATTAAAAAAACTTTGGAACTGTTGATCTGACAACCTTTAGGCAGCAAATGGACTCAGCCAATTTGGCTCTTAAAATTCCTTTCATATTTTTGGTTTTTCTTCCCTCTTTATTGAATACAAAGGCTGTGCATGGCAACTAACTAAATATGAGTGAAAACAGTAAGCTTTTCTCAAGGAGGGTTTGTTATAATGATAGCTTAGCATAATTCATCATTTACCAAGCACCGAACTTGAACGGACACTGAAGGCTTTACAGACTGTTAGAAAGCGCTGTATGTGGGTGGGCAATAAGACCGCATGTCGATTTAAGTTACTCGAAATTGTGAATAAAAATGGACATGGGAGGCGATTGAATAGACAGCAACTTCTTTTGCTGAAAACTGTCTTTTTGAACGTGGGCCATATAAATCACCGTCTGTTCTGCATAATTATTCACCTGGGCTTAATTCTGGGTAATCTAAATTTATTTGATTTATATGATGAGGCTTGAAAAAGCCCCCAAAAGAATAGGCCTGTCTGCATTTCACTTTTCCGCGTCGCCGACTCTCTCAAAATTATTTGCATCCTAAAATTACTAGATTACTTTCAAAAAGTCCTTTAAAGGCCTCATATTGCATTAAATACCATAATACTGAAAAAAACGGAATTGGTTTTATTGAGCGGCAACTTTATAGTACCGTTATAAAGCAACATTTGAGGCTTTTTGTAACGGAACAGCAGCACTACACAACACAACACAACAGTGTCGGAAAAAGAACGTTTTAAGCTGCCGAGAATTGTTTTTCAATGTTTTTACGTATCCCAAATTACTGAAGTAATAATTATTTCAAATTGGCTGTGTAGATAAAAAGACAAAACTACCTATTTTAATCGAAAATTAATTCCTAAACCAAAAAGAAGTTCAGCCTGGTATTGAAAACTTTCTCTCTGTTTCGCCCCAAAACAGTATTAATAATAAACTTCCAACAGCTCAGAAGCTGAAATCAGTTTGTTCATAAACTTCCTTCGGCACTTGAACTTTTTTTTGTTTCGGCAGTACACAGTTTTTTGAACCCTCCACCAACTTTTTCTACTGGGTGCTGAAAATTCGAACTGAATATCGAATTCGAAAGAAAAATGATAACCAAACCCTTTTTGAAATTTGAATGCAAAGTTTTAATGATTTAAAGAGATCCAATTATAACTAATCAGTGAAAAAAAGTTGGCCAGATCGGGTAAAAATCAGGTCACAAAAGCGGGTAAAAAAGTGTACCCTATTTCTAATGAGCTATTCGATACCAGCTGAAAATAATTGGCAAGTTTGCAAAGGCAGGTCTTCTCATGCAAATGTTCTTAGAATTTTGTAAAGCCCATTCGAATACTAATTTTAAAATACTTTTCCAATTCTGACGCTGCAATTAAAGATATAGAAATAGATCAACCCTTAATTTGAATTTTGGTAACCCTAGCCTGATATGCCTTTCTGTATAATTATTTCTTGCCTGGTATAAGAAAGCAAAAGAAAATCAACGAGTAGCATGAAAATTATTATCTGAATGAACAACTTTGGCGCTAATTAATAAAATCGGCCGAAAATTTCGACTGAGTTTTTTTCATTTGATAATACACTGTTAGGTGTCCCAATTGCTGTGTTTTAGCTTGTAGATCATGAAAACGGGATGGAATATCCTGATGTCTCCGAGGACAATTTAACCAATTTGAACGAACAAACAATCGGTAACAACAACAGCCGACTTCGGAAAAATCAAATGAAAACGCCCAAAACACCGCGCCCTCTCACTCTTACAGCAGCCGCACGAGCCCAAGAAGCGAGAAAACGAAAACAGAGCAACGAACGAAAATAGAAAGCGTTTCATTTACTTCTATTCTAGCTCACACACCCGCCGTTCACACCTCGATCACATGTTTTTATTTTGTTTGACAGATTTATTTTTTCAAACACAGCTGAATTATTCTATTTTTCACGTTGCATTTTTCAAGTTTTGTGAATTTATTTAGCCCAATTTGTGGAACTGTATGCTAGTATGCTCAACAGCAAAAAGAATGTGGCCTTAAAATTATTCGAATTGTTATGAAATTGAACTGTATTGTAAATTAAATATTTTTTTTTGTAAGTTTTGGATGCTATTTGCAGTTTAAATAAACCTAAACTGTCATCATCGTTGATTAAATTTGATTAGAACATTGATTGAAATTAGAAATTGTAAAATTGAAATGAATCAGTTGATTGTGATAGTTAATTAAATCGTATATCCGATATAAAAACTGAAAAGTTATTCTTTTTAAAGTTTAAATCGAAAAGCTCAAGATAAATGCTCGAAACAGATTGTGATAATTTAAATCATTCAAAGTAGGGTAACTTCCCAAATTGCATACTTCCCAAATAGCATAAAAACAACTATTTCGCTCTAAATGAAACAAAACTGCTCATATCAGGGCGAATCACTGAATGTTCCGACTGCCTTTTATGGTCAATGGAGCAGTAATAACATGAAAAAAATGAATGGAGAAAAATTTAAAAAAGTTTTTTTTTTAATTAGAAAATTTGTGACAATCATCCCCGCACACGCATTTTATAAAATACAAAGTGATAGATTTAGCTCCTAGTAACAAATCACGTATGGCAAATAAGCTTCCTATAACCAATTTGGAACGAGTTCAAGGCGGATTGAACCTCCACTTACGCGTTTTTAGTGCAAAATATATCGCGCGTTATTTGTCCCAAATTGACCAAAATGGCATTCTATAAACTACCATAACTTTTCAAAAACTATCAAAAGTGAATATTTTTTAAAACTCAATCTCAAGACATCAATACATTTTGAACCATCAACAGTTCCGTCAAAAATGGTTAGATCAAAAATCAAAACTTATCTGAGGATAAAAAAACACCCCAAAACCAATTATGCCGTGATTAAGCTTGGAACCTTAAGCAAATTGAAAAAGGTGTGAAAAATTTGAGGCGTGAAAAAGTTAAATAATTCTAGACAATTTTGACGCCTTATTTTAATCACTCGTCAACAAACTACCAAACACCATGAAAATTCAATTCAAACAGGCATCAGATTTTGAAAAATGAGCCAAAAGAAAATTTTGAAATAGGATGGGGTTGCAACTTGTAATATGGCGGATGATTTTATCAAAAAAAATAGCAGCTATAATTAAAAACTTTTTTTCTCTTTGCCCTGAAACTGAATGCGGCTACCGACTTATTTTGAAAGACTTGAATGTTCCGACTGCATTTTTTGGTCTATGGAGCAGTAATGACATGAAAAAAATAAATGGAGAAAAAATAAAAAGGATTTTTTTAATATGAAAATTTTGTAAAAATCATCCCCCACACGTCATATAAAGTACAAAGGGATAGAGTTAGCTTCTTTTAACAAATATGGCAAATAAGCTTCCTTTAACCAACACTGAACTACAATTTGAAAATGAAACACATATGTCCGACTACAATGGCCATAAATATCTCACTTGAAAAACTAAAATAGTTGTAAAATTTTCTCAAAATCACTGTAACTAGTTGCGCAAACTGATTTTGAAAAATTGTAGCCGTCAAAGATACACAATGATTCTGAAAATCCCTTGAAATATCAAATCGTTAAGAGATCGAGATTAAGAGCAGAAACGGAGGGTGAGAAAAGTAAAATATTGGCAGAGAGTGGGTTAAGGTCACTTTTTCTAGCGTGTGGCAAAATAAAGCGCTTTCAAAGTGTAAAATATTTATTTCTTGTGGCTTATTTTAGTATTCACAGTTTTTTTGGAGTATTTGAAGAATCAAAAACCCAATGATTTGGTGTCTGCTTCAAAATAAAAAGGACAGAAATATATCGAGGAAGGCCAAAAAAACCATCTGGAAAACTTCTAAATTTGGACCAGTAACTCATAATCTCATAAAATGTCGGCGACTTCGAGCTAACACTTTAGGTGAGACACAACCCCAACTGCAGCTGAAAAAAATATTTTTTCAACCTTCAATTTTTAAACATTTGTTATAGTTCCTGTCAAAAAATTGTTTTCTTTTGACAACAAGACATCTTTGAAGCATAAACCTACCAAAAAAATAACAAGGCTATAAAACTTTTGTGTTTCAGGCAGCAATAGAAACTGAGTTTGGGATGGCTTACACCTTGCAAAATTGTTGAAAGACTAAATCAACTAATCGAAAATTCATTGCCATAGTTTTTCTACCAGTGTTTTATGTCGGTAAATTTTTTTCAGATAATTCAACAAACATTGACATGATTACTGGCTTAACGAAATAAAACTTTTGCATCTTTCTACACTAGTTGTCTAAAATGCTTATGAAGGCTAGAAAAATTGTCTAAGTAAGCGAAATTGCCCAGGTTTTTGAATGGTTGATAAAACATTACAAAATTAATAAAACTTGCAAAAAGATCTTACAGGCGATAGCAATTGGGTTACCAAGTTGATGCTCCTGAACAACAAAATAAAGAAAGCTCAAAAGAAAAATTTGCAGCGTGAAACTAAGATTGAAAGCCCGATCAATTAATATCGACAAGTACTGGGATACTATTTCATAAAATGGCCAGCCTCTACAAAAACTAAAGCCAAAAATTTTTTCTGTTGAAAACTCCGATGAAATTATTTTCAAGTTAGTTGAATTATTATTCTGGTTTTCAAAAATTTGAATGTTTATACCATTTAATAAATCCACAAGTTTTTTGCCATTTGGATTTTAAAAAAAAATTTATGCCACTTGGATGTTTTAAAATTTTATGCCATTTGGGAACTGTGTCATTTGAGATTTAACTAAAAGTAGCACGCAACGAAATTTAACCTTGAAGGCAATTAGCGTCAACTTTCTGTAGAATTTATCTTAGAACCCACCTCCCCCCCCCCCCCCACTATCGCGCCACTATGCCGTGTCCTGCTTTGCGCCACTATGCCGCGTTTACCCCAACCCCCATCAGACAAACTTCGCCAGACATTCCCACACCCAAGACCGCCAACACCCCAGCCTACCGCCACGCAGAATAGGTAATTTTGTGGTTGGGGTTAAGCCTGGGGTGGGACGGTAGGGTAAATTTTTGGGTTTGCAAAAAAAAACTGAACAGAATTTTAACAAAAATACGTATGTATTTTTTATGAAACGCGATTGAAATCAACAAAATGGTTAATTTTAGCGACATCACAAAATAACAAAATAACGAAACCGAACTGTGCGTTTTTTTTTGAATTGTCAGAGGATTCCGCAACAAGGTCGCTCCCATTGCTCTTTTTTTGTACTTTCATTTCCTTTGATGTTTCCACAAAAATTTAACATGCTTAAAGACTTTTCTGGAATCCAAGAACATAGAGACACAAAATTGTTCGCTTATCCAGGGAACTGTTAGGCCTCGTAATGAAGAAGTTATATAGGTTTAAGCTTATTATAAACATTTGAAAAGAGCACCCAAAAAGTTTTCAAAAAATTGATAATAACCTGCTATAATCAATTATAAAAGATCACGCTTCGTTCGATAATTTTTTTGAACATACGTTGAAAATAATCATTTATAATTGATTAAAAAAAAACGTTCTGCTTCAAAAATTGTTGCTAAAATAATCCATTTTTAGTCAATTATATTCGATAAGTTTAGAATTCTAGGGAAACAAACTACAAAATTGCAATGTAACCGATTTTTATCTATGAAATTTCAGTGCGGGTACAACTTTTTTTGCAAAATAAGGCTCTTAGGACTATGTTACAACTTTGGACATTTTCTTTAAAGAAAGTTGTGAGATGATATTTTTTCTCAAACAAACAAAAAATGTAAGACAGGAAGATTTACTACAAAAAATCTGAGTGTTCCGCTCCTCATTTGACATATCTTTAAACCTTTTGTGGTATTTTTCCAAAAACTCAATAAAAACTAAAAATGTTTTTTTTTCTTGACAATTTTTTCAAAAAAAGGGTTGGGATGACTTTAAAATTGCGTGCTAATTGAATTACTGGATAATTAGCTCTTCTAATTATTTAAAGTTTGACAATTTGGAGAATTCAAACCGGATAACGCACAAAAATATTTTTCACATAAATTATATGTTTATCACAGATGTCAAGCGTAGCCTCGAATTATTTGTGTGAAAAAAAAATACCTGCGAAAATCAAAAGAAAGTTCGAAAATTGTAACTCAAAAAACTTTCAAAGACCAGAATTTTCAAAACGTTTATTTGCATAAGATGCATGGATTTTTCTACCATTTTTTGAATCCTCATTTTTCTGGTGCAATTGTACTTTAGTTTTCGTTTTTTAATTTCTGAGGAAGCTTCGGATCTCAATAACTGATATCCCCTTTTTACAAAATTCTCATAACTTTGATTTATTACTTTATAGGAGGGAGGGGAGAGATTTATTACTAGGCGCGAAAAATTTTTATGTGCTTAAACTTTTTTGAAGAGTTTTAAGCAAAAAGTTTGTTTATGGAAAAAATCCTTATCGTATCATTTTCATAGAACGGAAATCGTATGATAAGCATTTTTTGTTTAAAAAAATTAATCACTTCAATCTAACTTAATCAGAAACGATTACAGCTTATTTAAACTTGCCAAAAAATTCTTTTTAGAGGTTTTCAGACAAACAAAAAATGCTTATCATACAACTTTCATAACCCGAAATCTTATGATAATCATTTTTTCCATAGAACCCATGCATGGAATTGTATGTTTACTATTTTTTTTTGTTTGGAATTGTATGATAAGCATTTTTTTGTATGGAGGTTAACCCGGGTGGTTGTTATTTTTTATTGTGTTTCATTGCAATTATATTGCAGTTTCTTTATTGAAACGATTTCAGACTCAGACGCTGGCGTTAAATGAAAATTGTTAGTGATTTGACTCAACAGGGACACCATACGAGCAAATTTTACAAATCTCATATTTTGCTGGCTAGATTCCTCCAAATTGAGAAAAGATTTATTGGAACCTATATTTGCTTAGCAGACAACAGCTCATAGAAGTTCGCCTTATCTCTCAATTGCAAACGAAAACTATGGCGCTCATTATAAGAATTTTTTGTTGTTAATTTGAATTTTGGAGCGTTATTATAGTACTTATTTTAACCATTTTCTACGCGTACCGACGAGGTAAAAGCAGCTTCTATTTTTCACCCAAAAGTTATCAACTCCGAAACTAACAAAAAAAAAATCATTTCAGTTGCGTTTTTATAGGA